AGCCAGGGATCGAACCGCCGACCTTCCGATTAACAGCCAACCCGCTCTACCTCCTGAGCCACAGCCGGTGTGGCATAGTGACTGGTTTACAATTACAATGCACTTTGCACTTTTATACTCTTTATACCTCTAAAACATTCTATGTAAAACCAGTACACAATTAATATTTTATTTGCCTGACAGTTGAATACTTGAACTTGCCGGGGACTTTGTGGTTCACTTGGTTACTTTTGTTGTCTTTGTTGTACCTCTTCTTTGCTGCCCTGCCAAAGGAATTTTTGATGTGATAGTAGTCACTGCTTTTAGTTATATATTTTATAATAAGTTACAAGACAAGCTAACTTGCATTGTTTTGTCAAGGCAGATAAAGCATGTTTGCTGAGAGTAAAATGTTTACATTTAGATCTTATTCATCAATATTATTTTATAACAAAACATATTCTCAACCAATCCATGTTTGGACAGTTAAATGTTTACATTATGTTACTCTATTTTTTAATGTTAATAAACTATATGACTATTAAGTTCAACTATTGAACCTTCTTGATTCTTCAGGCATCATTATCATATACTCTTCAAACTAGCAGCACTATTAAATTATATATCGTAAAAAATATCGACATATCAATATAGAAAAAAATATTGTGATGATATTTTTTCCATATCGCCCAGCCATATTTTATAGTATTTGGTTGAAAGCAGCATGGATAAGGAGTTGGGCTCCGGTTTGTTTTTTCCTCTTACATCTGGGTAATGTAAGTTTAAAGTGCATTAACATGTCGGATGTTTCCATTCACATAACGTTACCCTACAACAGTGCCGAACTGCACTGACATGATCCTCATACACAACTGTCTCTCTGTTGCTGTTGTAACACTGACCAGTAACCTGCTAGGATGCCGGCGCTCGTGCACCGCGAACACTCCACAGTCCTGAGCGTGAAGCTGAACACCGGCGTACAACAGTAATAAGTGTTTAATTATGACGTTACGGCATCTATTTAATCCGATGAAAGGACAAGAACAAATTTAAGACTTTGGTAAACGAAGTTCAGCAGTAATGTCCTAACGTGTTCAGACAGTAGCGGACTTGCCCTACTCTGCCTCTGATTGGCTGTTGTGTTGAGACATAAGGAGTGACGATTGGTTAGGCACAGCCAGATATAAAGTAGCAAAGTTCATGGTAGTGTGGACTCCTGCCTGACAGATGCTCTCTGTGTCAGATTTGATCTGATCTCCTCCTTGATTTTTCTCCAGCTGTTGATTCGTGGATGGATTTTGGATGGGTGATGACAATCCTCAAACTTTAAACCAGGACAGACTCCGCTAACTCAACAGGAAGGACCAGAAACATCCCAGTGGGACTCCCTTACATGGCTGGACTGTCAGAACATACAGAGTCTTTAAGAAACAACCCATCCAACACCTTCAGATCTCTGCTGGTTCACCCTAAAGACAGGACCCCCTGAGAGGAAAACTGAAGAGGTGTTTGGCATCACATCTGACAGAAAGGGAACGGTCTGCCTGTGAACACCAGACCTGAACCACTCACAGCATCGACTGGGAAGAGGTCAGAGGTCATGGAGCAGGAGCCAGCGGACGGCTGGAGAAAGATCAAGGAGGACGTTCACATCTGACACCAGAGAGCATCTTTGAACAGAGACAGAAGCCACGTACGTTAAGAATTAATCGTAAATGTCCATTTAAAAGGAAAAATAGTAACCATGTTGTGGATCCAGCTTCTCAGTTATGAAGATTTGCTTCTTTTCTTTTTCATATGTGAAAATAAACATTTTTAAAGGTTTGAAGTTTTGGTCGGACAAAACAAGCCATGTGATGCATCTCCTTGAACTTCTGTCCACACTGACGGGCATGTCTATAACCTTTTATTTACAAAGCAATAAATTGAGAAAATACATGGCAGATTAATGGACAGTGAGAAAATATTTTTCGTTGCAGCACTGGTTGAATACAGCTAGCAATCTTACAAGAATTAAAATAAATTTTTGGTAAATAAAAACATGAATAAAACTGCTTTAGCCTTGAGAAGCTGCAGAGCTGCAGTCTATTCACCAGTCGCTGTTACTTACACCAGGGGTTTTCAAACTGTGAGCCTCCCCTCAGGTAAAGCTTGGGAAACTCCACTGCGAAGATTCGACTGAGTTGAAACAGATTCCTCCCATCAAAGCATTGAATCTTAGACTACTCAGCACCACTCCTTCAGTTTGTGGAGAAGATCAGAATATAGCAACATAGCTATCAGGACACAAGGAGGAGGCAGAAGTAAACAGCTGGCTTGGCTAAAAACATTTTTCAAAACTAAGCAGTGTGAATGCGTTGGTGGACTTTAAGGTTACTAATACGAGCAAACATTTTCCCACACTGGTCACACCCGTACCGTTTCTCTCCAGTGTGAACGCGTGTGTGAATGTCTAGGTTACCTGATGTGGTGAAAGCTTTCCCACATTGGTCACACCAGTAAGGTTTCTCTCCGGTGTGAACCCGTCTGTGCTTATCTAGGGAACTTGATTGACTAAAAGCTTTCCCACACTGGTCACACCAGTATGGTTTCTCTCCAGTGTGAATACGTTGGTGGATTTTTAGGTGACCTGATCTTCTAAAAGCTTTCCTACATTGATCACAGCTGTACGGTCTCTGTCCAGTGTGAACACGCTGGTGATCTTTTAGCTGACTAGATGTACTGAACATTTTCACACATTGGTCACAACTGTGCGCTTTCTCTCCAGTGTGAACCTGTTGGTGCCTTTTTAGTTTATATGATGTATTGAAAGCATTTCCACATAGTTCACAACAGAAAGGTTTCAAGCCAGTGTGAACACGATGGTGGACTTTAAGGTTATAAGATGTACGGAAAGCTTTCCCACACTGGTCGCAGCTGTACAGTTGATTTCCAGTGTGAATGCGTTGGTGCGTATTCAGGCTCCCTGATTGAGTGAAAGCTTTCCCACACTGGTCACAGCTGTACGGTTTCTCTCCAGTGTGAACTCTCTGATGAATCTTTAGATATCCAGATTTTTTGAAGGATTTGTCACAGTGCTGACATTGGTGACGTTTGGGTCCCTCTCTTCCTCTCCGTTTCTATATCAACAGACAAAAGTACAGAAAGAAAAACAGAAATGAGATGTCACAGTGGAGCGTGATTTCTAGAACCATAAATCAAATTTCATGTCTGTGGAACCCAAGCCACAATTGGGGCTGAAACTGTTCAAGAAACTCGAGTAACTCGATTACAAAAGTTTAGTTTATTCCATATAACATTACATTTATTCATTTAGCTGACGCTTTCATCCAAAGCTTCTTACAATTGCTTTAAATTTCAGAGGTCGCACGCCTCTGGAGCAACTAGGGGTTAAGTGTCTTTCTCAGGGACGCAATGGTGGATGGGTCACAGTGGGCGATTGAATCCGGGTCTCTCACACCAAAGGCATGTGTCTTATCCATTGCGCCACCCCACCATCTAGAGTGTGCTGTTTCACATTGGACGACTGTTACTGTTGCACAATGCGCTTACGCTGTGGATAAGAGGACGCAATATGATGTGATTGAAAAATGTAGGAAGAGAGAGAAGGTAGTGAGGGACGAAGAGACAGGCCAGAGAAAAAGAGAGTGTCCGAAGTATGGATTGATTCATACAAAAAACAAAACTCTGTACAGTGTTTTTGTTGTAAAACAGAATTAGCCTTACACAACAACGCTTGAACAAATCTAAGCAGAAGGCATCAGAAATATTCCTGAATTGTAAACTTATTTAGTCGTTTGTTGTTATTGTTTTCTGACTGACAGACTAATTGATTACCAAGCTGATCCTCGTACTGAGGGCGGCAAGCAAATGTAGTTTCTTATCAAATAAGTCAAATAGACGGAATAATCAGTAGAATACTCAGTTACTAAAATAATCGTTAGCTGCAGCTGTACCCACAGTGCTAAAGTCTGACTGGAAGGAATCTGATTTGCTTTTACTGGTTAAACAAAAAGGATCTCTCTCTCCCTCTCTCTCTCTAATACGCAAGGCAGGTTTTTAAATAACACCACTGAGGTCAATCAAAGTGCTTTACAGAAGTGATTTTGTAAATACAAAAGCTACTTTAGAAAGAATAAAGAAATTAAATAAATGAGAATCAACAATTAACAGAGAAAAGATATTAAAACCAAGATTAAAACGATGGCCATGTGTTTGGCAAAGTAACCGTGTTTCCATCAACGTTTTTTCATGCGTGAAGTATCGCCTTAGAAAAGCTTGATGGAAATACGCTCGCTTGAGGTGGTTTTTGCTTTTGTCGAAAAACAGCTGATGCGCTAAATGGGAGATGGCACCACTTTTGCCGCATAACTTCTGACATAGCGAACTTGTAAATCACTTCTGATCAGCCGTTTCCGCTGTTGGCGTCTCGCCGGATATTCCCGTAACGTGCGGAGACATGGCTGGTATTTGGCCGCTTGAAACACATTTCTGAGGACCTCTCTCCATTTTTTTAAGATCCATGGCCACCAGGTTCACGTAGTTGGCTTTGTTTCTGGTTTGGAACCCATAGGTCTTGTTTATTACAGCCATGTGTAACGTCAACTACTGACGTAACTACGCTTGACTTAGCCTTGTTTGTTCGCTCCAAACCAGCTGATGGAAACGCACATTTTTGCATTTACTTTTATTTTCTTTTTTGCGACATTTCACATATCCGCTTAAAATTCGCGTGACATTTAGATGGAAACATGGCTAATGTTTTACATATGTAAAGAAACAAGTACAAAATTCAAAAGATACTTTGGGGAGGAGAACAGGAGAAGACTTTAAAACACAATGTTGGTAAGATGATTCGTTTAAAATATTCAACTCCACGTTACCCGCGGTGGTGGGTGCTACTTTATTTCCTGTGTGACACTAAAGTTTCTGTAGTGTCAGCTTCTGTCAAGCTTAAGGCCATTGTACAAAACAAGTCAAGGTACAGGTTTTATCACATTGCGATAATATCACAAATGCAATTAATCGTTCAGCCCTACAGACCATCATGATTTATTTAGACTGCAGGGGATGCTGGTGGTACAAACGGGAGGTGAAGTGGTCGCTGGGGACAAGAAGAGTAATCAGTGACCGGTGTATAATCCGGAGGTGTAGTGAGAAGACATTGTGAACATCTGGGTGTTGGCTGAGCAGTGACGGATCTGCTGCATAACATCTACAATTTAAGCAACAGTTAGGCAATGGTGTTGGCAGTAACGCATTACTGTATTATTAATTTATCCTAGTAACTAGTAATGTAAGGGAGTACCATTTCCAAGACAGTAATAATAATAATACTTTAATTAATCCAAGTAATGGGGTTGTACCGCGTTGCCAGAAGGTGATTTGTTTTGTGTCCAGGTACTTATACTCGTCAACAATGTCTACAGGTTTCCCATGGATGGTGGTGATGCCTGCGACAGCCAGTTTCTTCTGCTTGTTGGAAAAGGTCATCTTCTTAGTCTTGTTCACATTAAATTCCAGGCAGGAATTATCACACTATTCTACGAACTCATGAAGAGCTGAGTTGTGTTGCTGTAGGGGGGCCTGAAACAAAGATAGGACAGAAAAGTGTCATCAGCAAACTTGACCACATGATAGCTTGGCTGGACGGACCGGCAGTTAAGGGTGAGAGGACACAGCCTTGCAGGGAACCAGTTCATGTTTACAGACGACAGACTAGGGCAGGGTTCCCCAAACTACAGTCCGCCCCCACATTTGGACCGACTCCTCTGAACATTGGCAGAGACAAATTGTTTAATTTAAAAATGATATTATATATATATATATATTTTAATCATCTGTATTTGATAATAAAAGCTTGGCTTTCAAACTAAAATCCCCATAGTTATTAACTATTAAAACTTCCCTTAGTTGTTTAATTGTTTGAATGGTACATTCAACATAACATCCTGACCAGCACGTGATACTGATCTACAGCACCTGTGCATGCTAGTCAGCAAGAAAATAGCCAAAAGGTTGGGAAAGAGAATAGTTGATTCAGAATGCAGGGTATTTTACAAACAGTTTTTTGTTCAATGCAAAGATATTGCTGTTTGTCTCATCTGTCAAGAAACAGTGTCTGCGCAGACACAATGAAACCCGATACAAAGACAAGTATGCCAGCTTGCAAGGTCAAATGAGAACAGATAAGGTGTCGAAGCTCGAAAGCGGACTATCAGCTCAGCAGAACAAGTTTGTACGTCAAACCCAGTTGAACCAGTCATCCAAGCTAGCTTTCAGGTAGCTAAGCTGATTGCAACCATTGGAAGGCCATTCAGTGATGGTTCATCAAGAAATGTATAAATGTGGTTGCAGAGGTGTGCCTCGATAAGAAAGACGTCTTAAATGCGGTGAGTCTGTCCGCAAGTACAATCGCAAGACGAACTGAAGAAATGCGAGATAATGTATATGCTCAGCTGCAAGAGAAAGTGAAAGAATTTGAGAATTTTTTCCTCATTATCACTGGATGAGAGCAATGACGTGCAGGACACAGCACAGCTGCTCATTTTTCTTTGCGGCGTGAGCTCAACCTTTGAAGTGTCCGAGGAGCTGGCGGCCCTACAAAGTCTCCAAGGTACAACAACAGGGGAGGATATTTTTGATAAATTTGTGGAAAACGATGGAAGACTTGGATTTAAACTGGTCTAAGCCGGCCAGCATCACGACTGACGGGGCTACTAGTATGGTTGGTGCGTCAAGGGGGCTAATAGGACGTATGAACAGAGAAATGGAGGAAAGAGGTCTCACCCCCCCGTTACAGGTCCACTGCCTGATTCACCAGCAAGCACTGTGCAGCAAGGTTCTTAAGTGGGAATCTGTCATGAAGATGGTGGTGTGATGTATAAATTTCATCAGAGCAGTTCCAAGCCTGTCTCTCAGAGCTAGAGTCTGCTCACGGAGATGTGCTTTACCACACTGAAGTCCGATGGTTAAGCCACCAAACTGAGAACGCTTGTTTGATAGGTAGTAAATGTTGGGAATACCATGTTTCTACACAGACATACACACTTTGTTTATAACATGGTTCAGTTCAAATGTTTTCTCATATTTTTTTTTAGGTGACCCAACCATTTGAGCTTATTTGAATGGACCTTATTGGTAAATTGGCAACAACCACCAGTGGCAATCAGTATGTGTAAACATATCCACTGAAATTGAAACGTGCAGAGGAGGTGACAACAAATAATCAAGTTTGTCCACCAGTTCGAGGCTCCAAAAAGAATTTTGACGGACCACGGGACTCAGTTTGTGAATGCGGTAATGCTGCCTTTCTAATTAATCATTTTTTATGTAGAGCTTTATTTGTGGAATGATAGTAATATGTATTTAATGTGAAGTGTTGTCACTTGTAAATTTCTGAAATTACATTTTTATTAAATATGTAACAGATCAACAAGAGTGTATGTGCCAAATTAAGCATGAAAATAAGTCTCTGTGTGCCATACCACCCACAGACCAATGGTCTGGTTGGGAAGATGAATTGGACCATCCAAAAAACTAAGGGAAGCACAGCATGTCTAGGATGAAATTGTCGATTATAAGTTATATGCCAAAAAGTGCTACACATCAATTCAATGTTGTTGCACTTGTCGTCCAGAGAGACCCTGAATTTCCCAATATTAACAAGTACTTAGTGACAAGGGAAAAGAAAATTTAACTTTTTACCGGCAGTTCCCAATGTTTATGCTTTCAATGGCCACTGGAAACTTTACCTAATCTATATCCCGCCACATTGAGTTTATACCAGTCCAACTTATCTTTTAAAAAAATCATTTTTACTTATTTTCTACAGGTGGACGAGGATGTCGAGGATGTCGTAAAATATGAAACGGTCTCCAAAGACATTGAACGCCTTGATGCAATCAGGAGCATTGTCCAGGAAAATGTGTCATAGGTCCAGGATAAGACACGGCAGAGACTCACAACTTTGCAAGGGTGGAAGACTTGACCCCTTTACCATAACAGCACTGGAAGGCAAAAGGGCTGACAGTTGGAAAAAGGTGAATATTGACCACCTGAAACATTTTAAGATTCAAACGCCTCGGATTTCACACAGGATTGCACAAGTTGCCCATTGTGGGCAGTGGTGGTTAGTTCGCAGCCTCAGCCCTGCAGCAAACACGTCGACAGTCCCAGCAGCCTCAGCCTTGTCACTGAGGAAAACCATGTGCCACATATATAGATGCAGAAGTACAAAAATGTATGTTTAGCATTTTTTTTTTGTGAAGACATATACTGACTATCATGCACACCAATAATAGCTACAGTAACTTGACAATTATATCTGGGAATCACACAGTTTAGGCTTTGTCTTTGGTGATCAGGAAAGGAAATGTTATTATTTCAGCCATTTGTAACATTTATCTAAATCATTGGGCAACCCAGTAACAGATTAAGTGCATCTTCTTTCTCTTGCAGATGTGAATGATGTGTGGTGCTGGAAAACACTCAGATGCGCATGTGATTATGACCTTACAAACTGTTCTGCTGGGACATAGCAACGATTGCTCCCAGTCAAGGGCTTGAGAGTGAGGTAATGATGTTATAATTCTATGCCCTCAGCTTAAATTATTTCTTTATTGAAAAAAATCTTAATGTCTTGAGCTTTGACATTCTCATTATTATTGCAAGCAGGTAGTTGGAAAACTAGAGAAAAAGAAACACTGTATAATACTATAAACTAATATATGTCACGTATTTGCTTCTTCCAATACCACAATACTAAGTTTAATCAAGTGCATATTGACACAATATCCGATTCAAAAGCACCATAATATTCGTCATTCTACACATATTTCTTGGAAATATGCAGGTACACATGTAAAGTGTGTGTATAGAAGACAGAAATGTTCGATGGTAGGTTCAGCAGGGCAGAATACATTAAATACACTGTCGCGCAACATGCTGTGCTCAGTAATGGATAGTGTTGTTGTAAATATGTTGTAAATGTAAGAATGTGTTGTTGAAACACTGTATGACATAACTGGGTGACTTCACAGGTAATCAGTGCTTACCTTACTGTGCTGGTGCGACAGTACAACAAACAAAATGTGGATCAAGCTGTTGTCATTGACAATCATCTGGACGGGGAAAACCTCCAAACTCAAGGTTTGTAGAGAAACGTTTTTCCCCCCAGATTTACAACAGTGATGTCATTGTCATTTAAACAAAGGCTAAAGTACAGCAATTAGATATATTCATACATTGATTTGATTTTCAGATTGACCCACTGAGATATAAAATGATACTGGGAATTTTCAATGAACACCACCACTGGATGTTAATGGTAAAAGTGGGACATTATTATTAACTGTTGTAGTAACCACACAGATGAATTTTGACAGATTTAAAATAATGAATGATCTGTATAATGATATGTTTGTACTTGCCTGCTTTCATGTTTAAAGCTTTAAAATTCACAGCCTGAAACATGTTTCCCTCGAAAATATAAAGGTTACATATCCTCATGAAAAGAAGACCCAGGTGAACATAAAACGGTGCCTGGAAACAACAAGGTGACAATGAATCAAATAAAATGAATATTAAAATAGTATAGAAGGTTATGAAATTGAATAAGCTTACTAAAATCTCTATATTGTTCATTAAGGGCATTCATGCGGAAGAGAGGATGTAAGGTCTCCAGATGGGCATGCAACAGTCGTCTACATGGGCTACAAAGAGACAGTACTACATCATGTGAGGTCTTTGCCTAGAAAGTGAGTGTAACTGGTTCTTAACGCCAGTTTTTTTAACCATGATTTAGTGACTAAATGCAGGAACATTACACATTAATACTGGTTACTTTACAAACTTCTGACTGGTACTATGCATATCCTGTGTTGAGTATTTAACTTTCTTTATGAGTGTTAATTAATGATTTGTGTATTCAATATGCCATCTTAAAACATGCTTATCAAATCTATTTTCCATCAGTTTGCTAAGTGCATATTCCAGAAGGGCTGTCAACCGCATGAGAATGAACATAGCGTCCACTCTCCTCCGTGAGAGCGGTGCGTTTCCCTTTTGGCTTATACTTTGTGTGTCTTGAAAACTGTGTTGTACTTTAAACAACAACAACAAAATTAAGTTTATACCGTAATGACTGAGGATAAGCACTCATCAGTGCCACAAGAAGATTTTAAGCCTGATTTGCAAGAAGTCGCAGAGCTCGCCAAAAGTCTGGCTGTAACTCGTTGCTTTTCCCCCATCAGTGAGTGATTGACTCTTGCCAGCAGTCGGCCAACTCGACATCCCCATCCGCCCAATGAGAGGAGGCAGCTGGTGGAGCAGGCAGCTACTTTTTCATTACAAAACATTTTTTGCTCACCTCCAACTGTCTCTGTAGCACAGACAATCCCTGCTGCCCACTTGTGGCAGTCCAGTCTTTCACAGGCTACCGGTCTCCACCTAGTCTCTCACATAGCAAATGATGGTTACTAAGCAACATACATCAAAGGCTAGGATTATTAGAACTATTATAGTGCGTAAAATGAACAGGCTATTGAAATTAGTGTGTTTACGTGTATAACGCAAACCCTATTTGTCACGGAGTGATACAGATCTGAGCAAATGAATTCGCTCATTATATCACTACTATGAACCAATCAGATTGCTTAATTTGAGCTACCGGTTTTATAAAAGTACAGGTAGGTCAAGGCTCGACAGGAAGTGTGTTAGTAGCTGAAGTGTTTATTCATTACTTTTAGTAATTCCTTTATATTTTAAAATGTACTTGTTCACTAAAACCTTCTATGCATTTATCATGTCAGGCACTTGATTGTCAAACTTCCCACAGGCCAAACTTTAAAGAGGATGTGCTGAAAAGCTGAGCACCAGTGGAGGAAAACTAAACTCCAGACTGACTCTGAACTCAACAAAGAGTCTCCAAAAATAAGCTACTATGAGCACGACAAAAACTCACAGAATAATAATGCAGGCAGACTGTTTTCACGGTGATAAACTCACGAGGAAATATAATGACTGCTTCATTTTTCACCATCAGTTTATGCGCGCTCCCGACACAAAACATGCTGCACCGCGCACGCGCTACGCGGAACACCCGTAAAACAAAGAAAAGAGAAACGCTCATGAGTTTTTCTTTCAGCTTCCTCTCTTCAAGATGAAAACAGGAATCACGGAGACACTTTGGAAATCAAACCACGTCAACACAAACCCTGGAGCGGGTTTTCAGGCTCTGATCTCTAACAACAGAATGAACGGATGATACACGGACCCTCGAGACTCTTCCTCGTGTCTTTAGTCTCGTGATGAAGTCATGAACACTGACCTGAACATCGGTGCTATCAGAGCACGAGGCTGCTGTTTGGCTCCTGTGGTCCGGGTTCTGGTTCTCCATCGTCCTGCAGGTCTGTGACTGGTGGACCGTGTTGTCCTGGACTGAGTCTGGATTCTGGTCTCGGAGGTCTTCAGGCTGATAATGCGTTCCTAGTTCCCAGTCGGAACTTTCAACTTGAACGCCTCCTGAAGTCGGATTTCCGGTCTTTTCCTCCCTCCCCTACTTCGCCTCCGTTTGCGCGTTCACGCTGAGGGTTTGTCCCAATCCCAATGTCCACCTTCAGACTTTGCGCGTTCCCGGGAAGTCCGTGAGGGCTCAGGGCTGTCCCACTGTCAAATCGTCAAGTGCGCGAGGGCTCTCTCGCGGACATTTTGAGCCCTTTATGGACCCTTTTCGAAAGTCCGCATTTCTGCAGACTTTGGCTGAGGGAACTGCCCACAGTTCATAGCGGTATGACGTGAAACACCGGGGTTACCGGGGGAATCCCGGTAGCGACAGAAAAATCACGGCAAATCCGCGTTATAAGAGAAGAAAACAGTAAACAAACAAGCATCAACACCAACAATGATGCTAATATTGTTGAAAGCTTTCTTAACTTTTAAGATGCAATCACCTTATTACACACTTAGCCTAGTTTTCACTTAATGATGCTGTTTGACCAACAATAGTGATTATTGACAAATATATATTGACATTTAGGCTACCTCTCCTCCACTCTGTAGGACAAGAGCCTGCAGGACTTAATAAGGCAAAAACATAAAATAAAAAGTGTGCAACGTGTTTCAGCGTCGTCAAGGTGCTAAAGTGGCAAAGTGCCGTCCCGTTGACAGCATTTTGAGCCCTTGCAGCCTCTTGCACTCAATCAATTTCCAAGTGATGTCAGTAAAGTCTGTGAGGGGTCAGGGCTAGGGGGGATATGGGGATTGGGCCATTTAGTGCCATCAGAAACCAATGAGGGCGGAGTGATAAAACCCTCCAATGCTGAGCGAACATCGGTGATTTCTATTGTGAAATGTTGTATTGGTGTATTTGTGAATGTAATTTTTTCCATATAAAATAAAGAGGTTCAAAACATGTAGCCTAGTCTTTTACAATCAATATCAATCTCATCATAAAAGAATATAATGTATTTCTTAAATAATAGCTGCATCAGTCAACGGCTTGTAGAATATCCTAATCTAAATTATCAAAATAATTTGGTACATATGGCCTAAAATAAAATAAATGGCAAATGGTTTCAGTTTTGTTATTGCAAATTACTTTTCCTCAGCATCAATCCTAACTCTTAATGCAACTGTTTGATATCACCACCCACAGACAACAGCACTGGTATATTTTTATATAAAAAGCGATGGTAGGTAAACTTACCTCTGTACTTTTCTCGGTCTCAATTCTGGGCCCTGTTTCAGAAAGCAGGCTTAACAAAATCTGAGCTTATCCCTGAGCTCTGGGTTGATTGAGCCTGAGGTGGGAAACTCACTGAGTTTTCAGTTCCACAACAGCTGATCAGAATAAATTCAGTCAACTCTGAGTATCTATTTTAATCAGGTGGAGCTATGAAAATGAATGCTGCCAACGCGGACCATGACTGGCTCTAAAACGCAGGATTGGAGGAAGGATCAATGCGTTAACATTATTAGGCTACAACACAGAGTTGCTCATTCATCATTTACCAGACAGGAATTTCCTTAATGAATGATAAAGTGCTGCAGCCCATGACGTGATTTTAAATAGGAAGGCTATATTTATTAAGCTGTAACCCGACGGGACAAAATGCCTTGTGGCATTTTTTACAATAAACTGATCAATGAGCAGTAATCTTTCATATTGTAGTCTGATTGGAACATTCGTATCTTATGCTGCGTTCCAGGCAAATGGCAAATTTTCGACCTCCAACTACAAAAACTACCCCGGAACGCCATCTGAAGTCAGATTTACTACTACTTCAGATTTACTACTAGAAAAAATATGTACCCCGTTTAGGTTTATGTAGAAATATGTTAGGCCTATTAGGTAGCTGGCTACAGTAAATAATCTCAAAGTAATCTTTGCATAAAAGTTATTGTTAAAAATGCCAAAACATTAGGAAGTGTAACCTACGACACTTGAGGGTTACCAACTGATGTAGCTAGAGGAGTACACAGTTAATTAGTAAATTATAAGCTATTTATGGCAGTTGTTTGCATTTAAACTGCCATCCTTTTAATTAACACCTAAAGCACTGCTGAGGGTGCAACTGTGTGCACACTTTGTCACGGTCAGCCATGGTTTTTGTTCACTTACGGCATCATGCACCACCGTGCACCTGGAACGCTTTGACGTGGGAAGTCGGAAGTTTCAACTGGGAAATATCCCAGTTCTGACCGGTCTCAAACGCATCATATGTTATCAACTGTAGATAATGTGACTATTTCTGAGTGAGGATGACTGATGTGGTGCAGCTGGAACAAACAGGCCTAAATAAGGTTTAAAAATGAATTTTCATTATTATCTGCTGATAGTCTTAATGTGTTTTGACAGGATTAATGAAATATGAAAGGAGCAAGATTTTATTAATGTAAAATAGACGTCTAAAACTTTACAGTCAGTTTGAATCTAGACACATTTTCACTGCAAAAAAATTAAAAATTAAAAATTAGGGGCATGTTTTTACTGTTTGTAGGAACTTTGCATGTTTATTTATTTTTAATTACACTTAATTCTCCACCTTATTTAAGTGTCACTCACTGTTACGACCCTGGCTCAAGGGCGGCAACATAGAGGAGTCACAAACATCTATAATGATCAAAATAAGGTTTATTGCAAACAAAGTTCAACGACAAAGAACAACGGTGGCTGCTGCTGAAGATGCTGCTGCTCCTGGCTGCAGTGTGTGAAAGAGCGAGTGGGTGGAGCTAGACAAGGGCCTTTAAAGGCTGGACAGCAGGCACAGGAAATTGGGGAAATGATGGGGAGGAGTTTTCAGGATAGCTGCAAAACAGGGAACAGAGTAACTTTGGACATAACACTCACTTATTGAATCCGCCTCCTTCAGTTCTCTTCACACTCACAGACCTTACGTACCTCTGCTGCAAACACGTCAGTGTGCCCCGCTTCTTACGGTCTCTTCCTGGTAACTTTAGTAGCAGGCTAAGTTGTAAAAGCACTGTGTCTCCCTCCATGTTGTTAGAGAGTTTGTGAGTAGACAGCTGCGTGCAAACGCAGAGGGAGTGGCAGGGCTGTACGGTGAGGGAGAGAGACGTGCAAACGCTGGCAGGACTTTACCAAACATTAATTAACTCACATCAAACTATATCGTTTTGCCTCGTCCAGGCAATTGGTCTTTGTGCAGCCGGGGAAAAGCAACTGAGGCCGCCGGACTCGGCGCCTGCAGCCTGCTTGCTCCCTTGCGAGGTTTTAATGTCATGTGACATGAGCTGCGTTTCTACCAAAGGAACTTTACCCTGGAACTAGGAACCTTTGGAGGAACTCACTGCGTTTCCACTAGAGGGACCAGGGTCTAAATGTAGTTTGGGGGTCTTCATTTTACCTCCTAAAAGTCCCTGCATGGGGGGGTAGTACTTTCCGAATGTAGCGGTACTTTGGGGGGCGGGGCTTGCCTTGCAGGGAATTTCTGAATGGGCGAGTAGAGGCTACTGGCTTTAACTGGAGAATGTCAGGTGTTTGTCTGCTACTGCTCCTCTCTTTTCCACCATTGTTTGCAAACCAGTAAATCACAATCAGCAGTCAAATAGCACACACGTCTCGCCGCTGTCCGCCTGAGATCAATCGTCGGCATTGAATGTAAATAACAGCCTGCCTGGGTGTGTTTACAGCGAACAGCTGATGGCGTTACTACTGGGTCCAGAGTTGTGGCTTTTAAGTTTTCATGAGTCAGGAAGTTTCAACACAGAGCTGAAGTCGGTCTCCTCCTCTTAAAAACCAGCTGAACAGCTGATTACAGCAGGTAATTAAAGCTCATTAAAAATCCCGTTCCTCCGATGCTCAGGCGACACAGACATGAGTCCCGCAGTGATCTGCAGCTCTTGTCGCTGGAGATGTTTTAATAACCTTCCAAACTGTCGCAATTTTATTTTTGCCGTCGTTTTATCTGAGCTGGAGTTATTTTAATTACTTGATGGTTTTATCCAGTTTGTTATCCACACGTCTCGCAAATGTCCGCCTGAGATCGTATGTCGGCATAAAATTTATAGTTGGGAAACCGCAACCAGTGTTCAGCAGTGTGTTTACAGCGAGCAGCTGATGGAGTTACGCTAAATACTGGGTCAGAAGTTGTTGTTTTGAGTTATCAGGAAGTTTCTACAAGGAGACAAAGTCGGTCTCCTCCTCTCCAAAACAAGCGCAACAGCAGGTAAAGCTGTCGCGACTTTATTTTTGTGCTGCTTTCTCTGTGCTGGAGTTATTTTAGGAACATTATGGCTTTATCTAGTTTGTTATAAAATGTGTAACAAACTTTATCGTGTGTCTCTTCATTATACTCCTACACAACAAAGCTGCTGCTTAAACGGTCAAGCACAGCCTGTAGTTTTTCATTATATTCCAGTCAAATCTGATGTTCATTTATAAGTGTTGCTCATAGTGGTTACAAATAACGATGCCTGTGCATCGCTGTGTGCGGCGTGCAGGCCTACAGCCCACGTCAGCTGGTTAATTTGCCTAATCTTGGCAGGTCTTTAGACCACGGTGGAAACGCACACAACTGTGGGCTGAAGGATCCTTTAAGTTCCTTGAAAAGAGATCTGGGGACTTAAAAGTCTCGGGGACTTTTGGTCAAAAAGCGCCTATGGTGACGTTTTGCAGTGCCGGCGAAAGTTGGTCACAATTTCTAACCAGCATGCCCGATTTTAAGTCCAGCATGCATCACGTTACGTCAGAGCTGCGCAGCTCCGCGTGAAATCAAACTCACCTAATAGTCCATGTATCATGTGTGTTTTTGTGAAGGAAGCGCCGTCTCATGGTGAAACCCTGCAGCTGAATGAAAGGGGCTTGAATGGGCGTTTCCTGTGAATCTCCCAGTGGCTGATAACAGCTGCAGCTGTTTTCCATTGTGATATT